TTGGAGAATCCATGCTGTTTCCCTACTGCTCCCCATTTTCTTATGAAGACCTCTCCACAGATGGAGGGCAGCCGTGGTGTCCTCAGCAATAATGAGTGAGGGAAAATAATTTCAGTAAGTAAATTGCAGTAGCTCATATGCCTGCAATCTTAATAGATATTGTTTCTAAAGCATAGGCCACAAATTAGTTTAGTGAGAAGAGGGCATCTTTCATGTGTGTGCATTCAAAAATTTGACAATTTCCAAAGAATAGTTACCTAATAGAATCGTCCATGGGTAGTACTGCCTGATATAAATACTTTGTGCAGGAATGGCATGGAGGATGTCAAATGAGGCTACAGCAGCACTTTGGACACAATTCAGGCTGTGCTGTTGTTGACATTATGGTAGCTGAAGATTGTTCTGTATAGTTTAGTAGAGAAAGAGATAAAACAAGCCATTTCTCTGGTCTCTCTGTAACTTCCCAAAGTTTATAAGTACCCAATAACAAAAATAAAATGGTAGTGGTGGCTACTGCCAGATTCATAACTCCCCCTGCTCCTCTATGACTACATCTCTCTTTAAAAGGCATCACAAAGAAAATTACCCAGAATTTCTGAACAGAAACTATGGTGGGTAATTGAGGAATTTTCCTCTGCCCTTTAATCTGAAATTATTGCAGTAAAGCAGAGAGAAGGAGCTCCAAGTAAGGACAACACCAGGGGCAGATACTTGCTCGGAAAGAACTGAAGACTTTCCATTGACTTTGGCCAAAGGATGCTGGCTGCAAGTTTTACCCGATGTTTTTTCTCCCTGGAAAGGAGTTACCAAGTGTCCTCCTGTATGTTCCTGCTAGTGACAAAGTTCAATCAGCAACAGCTATCAAATTCTGCCTGCCCAGAAGCAGGGATCTGTCTTTGCTAAGGGTTTCACTGGATTCTGAATCAAAAAGCAAATGTTGCATTAGCAGACAATAGAAAAGTTATTGGGCTGTCCTCTCTCGAAGTGATTAATTATTCAATGTGACTAACGTGATTAATTAATTATTTAATGGAACTTCTCTTAATTGTTGCTTAGCAGCTCTGAAACAGTGGAAGGAGTTATTCTGGAAAATTGCATGCCATTCTACTGTCAGGTATGTTGATTTGCAGCTGCATGGTGGCACCAGACTCCATGGTCGACCAAATTGGAGACTGCATTTCCTTTATGATTTGTGTTGCTAATGGATTGTATTTAAAGAATGCAGGAGAGGAGCCAGGTCTGGTAGGGGCCTGAGGAATCCTTTTGTTAGTCCAATTGAAAGCTTGGCTGGTTATGTTGAGCAGACAGAAGATTTGCTCCCTCCTCGGTAACTGCCCTGGAGAACAGAAAGCGTGGATGAGATCTCCTTTGGAAGCTCATACCTTGCTGTTAAAATAGACTCAAGAGTAAATCTATTCTTCTTATATCTTTTCTTTAGCTTACAGTAATTTTGGATACACAAAGTATCAGGCTTTGAGGAAGAAAAAAAGAGGAGAAAACCCATAAAGGCCATGTGTTTGATCCCAGGCTCAGCAAAGCGTTGTTCTGTAGATGAATTTGCAAACCTCGTTTCTATCATTCTGCTAAAGTGAGAGCTATCAGGGTCTCCTTAATGTGTTACACAAAAGGGCTGCAGCACACAAAGCCTGGAACACATCAGTTTACAGATCCCAAGAGGGTCCTGTGGAGTCTATTACTTTGATGAAGTGGTATTTAAAATTGCATTACCCAGCAGCTGTTTAACCCTCCAGATGTTGCCCCTGTGGAGTGTTTAATAGGACGTGAAGTGCTGGTAGGCTAGGCCATAACCTCATGTCATCTATTCAGCAGGTCACATCAGGTCTTACCATCTTCTACTAAATCAATACGGGATGACCTGGCATAGCAAGTTTCCTCATCTGCTGTTCTTCTTCTCTTTATTTTTCAAACAGTGAGTAGAAAAATAGGAAGAAAATAAAATGAATCCAATGGAAGGGGAGAAAAGAAGATCTGAAAGCAAACAAACTCAGAAGCTTTTGATCATCTCAGTTCGTGTTTCCCCCTTGTTTTCCCCTTGTTTTCACTGAGAGCCCGGATCCAGCAGCTTGATGCTGCCATCTGCTGTTGCTCTGCTGCTCACGCTGCCCACGTTTTTGGGCAAATCGGCGAAGAGCAACTAAAATAAAGCAGCATCATAAATTAATAAAAGGGAATTCTAAAGGGAAATAGGTAAAAAGCCTAGAAAAGAAAAATCTCTCTTGACCTTTAATTTTTGGCAGCATTTCTGAATCCTTCTGTGACATGCTAATAGTGATTCCTATGGTCATCAAAAAAATGAGGCATGATCAACTCAAATTTTAGGAACATTTAGTCTGGAATTTCCTGTGGCTTATAGGTCGAGGACCTGATGCTGCACAGTGTTTTTCATGGTTTAGATATTTGGTGCACAGGTATTTGTTTTACAGAGCTGGCTTCCAAAAATCAGTTAAAACCAAGGAACAAACTTGTTTTGATTAGCACAGGGCACTTGTTACATCACCTTTTCAAAGATGAAACTTTCTATCCAAAGGCTGGATACCTTCTGGGGCATCATCGTCTTTTAAGAACATGAACAAAATCCTTGTATTCACCAGAAGGAATTCAACTGGCATATGACTTGCCCCATCACCCCTCACAGAGATGTCAGGTATCTAGCTGGGCTGTAGTTCTGCCACCATCTGGATTAAAACACAGTCCTGACAGGATATCTGGTTTGGAGGTAGATATGGAAATGAGGAGTGAACTTTTGTTGGGAGGGTTCCTTGCAGCACAAACAAATCTGAACTTTTTATAGAGTAAGAACATCGACATCCAGGATGTTGAAAATCAAAACCATTTCACTGTTATTACACAGACTTCTGTCTTTTGCTTCCATACTTTTATTTTTTGTGTGGAAACCTATTTACACTTCTCAGCCAAGTCCTTACCAAAGATTTCAACAGGGCCAAGATTTCAACCCTTGCTGGCCAGTGTTAGCACAAATGCGACGGCTGTTACTATGACTACATCTATGGAGAACTGGTACTTAGAGAAAATAACAGCTTACTGGCATCTCTTCTAGTGAAGTTTTTGAGACTCAAGTATCAAGAATGTAGACATGTATTGAACTCACTGTGCCAGCACAAATAATCTCTTGACACATGACTTCAGCCACAGAAATCAGTGCCAGCATGGCTCCCTCAAATTTGAAAGGATTGACCACTTCCTCTCACTGTTACAAAACCCTGTGTAGGAATGTAAAACAGATACTACAGCACATGACAGCTCAAGAATGGATGTCTGTCACACCAAACTCTTGACAAATGTGTTTTTTCATCATCTGGCTTCACCTTCTGCTATTCTAATAGCATCCATTGGAGTGGTATCTTTGGTGAGTGGTATCTTGGAAGTACTGAAGAATCTCCTTGCCTGATACAGATAGCAGCAGTAAAGCAGCACTTAGTGTGGCAGATGTTCTCCACTGTAATCCATAGAGCTGGAGCTTGGGAACTTAACAAGAGTTGCGCCGTAATTTCTAGCTCTGAGGAATGGTCTTTCTTACCTTTGCAGATCCATCTCCTCCGTCACTTACCTCTTCCAAAAATGCAAGGCTTTGAGAATCCTTTGGCTGCAAGAAGAACAGGCATCTTTGCATCCTCTCAGGATGAAGTAACTAGACTCAAAAGAAGCATTTTCCCTGTGTGTACTTTAGTGAAAAGATGTAAACAAGGTCAGAAAGCAGACTCAGGCTTACAGAACAGCAGACCTCATGCTCCAGGTGCAGTTAGTGCCAGTGGGACAGAAAGAGCTCCCATCCTGGGAACAGCCCAGTCTTGATTGGCACCCACCACTCCAGTTCTGAGACCGAAATTGTGCCGCCAAAGATTCAGCAGACCTAAACCCAAGCTTAGAAATCCTACTAATACACTCACAAGACATTTTAGTCTCTTCCCTCTCCTCACTTCCCTCCTGCTCTTGTCGAGCCCAAATATCAACAGCTAAAGTAGGCATTTGGTATAATGCAAAATGTAAAGTGGATTGGCAACAGCATAAATCTGAAATGCAGACATGCAAAGATACATTTAGAGAGAGAAAACTTCTTTAATATATTTGAGATGCAACAGGAACATGAGTGCATGTGGAAGAAACAATACTTTCAACTCATCTTACCAGACTTCTAGACCTGGCTGTGCTGGCAATAGGGTAGTAAGGGTCAGCCCGGGGCTGGAGCTTGTGTTCATGCCTCTGGGAGCAACCAGGAAATGAAAATCACCATTTTTGTGCTGGTGTAGGTGTAACTCATGTGCACTGGGTCAGTACTTCAGAGGGGAGCCAGAGAGAGCACGCACAGGGAGCAGGCAGTTGTAAGGGTACATGGCAGCTGTGGCCAAACAGGGCTTTCCTTCCCAGGCTAAGCACACGCCATTACCAAAGTAACAGGTGATCTGGCCTTTGAAAATCAATTGTATCACCATCCCCATGTCTTCCAGGGTATAAAGAGCACTTATAAAAACAGGTTGTACTGGATCATACTGCACAGTTCAGTTTACTTTTTAGTATCAAGGTCTTGTTTAAATGGTGCATATATATCAATAACAGTTAAAGAGAATTCAGTCATTACCAAATTTTAGTCTCATCTGACCTGAAAATTCCCATTCTAATACCTGTATTTTGGGTATAATTATTGTCAAAATATCATCTTCTGAACATAAAAGCTTTAAAAGCTTTAAACTGCTATTGTGACTGTCCTGTATACAATAGAAAAAATATATTGTTACTGCAGAGGAAAATGACTTGTTACATGCTTCTCACATAGTATCTTTATTAAATGTCTGGACAGATATGCATCCATTTATTATATAATCATCTATTGGTTCTTTGTTTGCAAATGCTGGTTGAAAGTTCACAAAAGCAGGCTTTTCTGTGAACTTTCTGTATTTGTAAGTTCAGTCACTGCAATAAATCCTGAGCCTATTGCCTGCTTAGCAGCACTTTGCACTGTACCCCAGTGGCTAAAGGTTGGAGCTCTGCATCTGAATATTTCAAAACCTCTGACCAGCTTGATTGGAGTTTGTTTTTCTTCTTAAATAATGCAAGTTGTTTTGGAAAGAACATATAATCGCAATTATCTGATAGTCAAATCCTTGGTCACTAACATACCAAGCTCCACTTTATAGCTTTATAAGCTCTACCACTAACAGAGGTTTCATTGGAGCAAAGCTTACTGCAGCATTTTGTAGTTGTTAGAAAAAAGGTGTTCTTTGTGCGTGCTGTAGTTCAGAGCTGTGAGGTCTTTGTGAATGGTTACTCTCAAAGCGCTACAGAAGTTCCCCGGGTCAAGGTGGCTCCTGGCTCCTCGGAAAAAGGAATGTGGGGTTCCAGCCTGGGAGGAGAGAAATAAGTGAAAAAGGAGCATCCCTGGGCTAGGCAGGACAGGTCTGCTTAGTGCAGTTCTGCAGCCTGGATGGTCAGCGCTGAGCTGGTTCAGCAGGAAGAGAGGTGACCCCAGTAAACACAGTGCGCAGCCATGAATCCAAGTCACCAATCACAGCAAAAGCTCCTCCGGCCCTATTTGTCAGAGCAAAAGGATTTTCAGATTATAAAACCAGGAGTCACTGTGTGGTCACTTAACCACATAATTTAGGACACAGAACATCCTTGAATTTGATCCAGTTTAAACTTTAGTAAATCTTTTAGATTAAAAAAAAACCCCAACAACATCTATTCTCGATTTAAAAATTGCTAACGGTAGAAAAGCCACAATAACCTCTTGCAATCCACACCAGTAGCTAAGTATTTCCCTGATGAAATGCATAGCCTTTTCATCCTGTGCATGTGTCCAGCTCCAGCCACCAGACCTTTTTATATCTTTTCTTTCTAGATTAGAAGAGCATTAGTCCTGAAGTAAATACTTACCATCTACAACCAAAATCTTTAAATTTTTTCTTGGCTTGCTTAAATGATTGCACACCTACCACCTCTATCCAAAGACGCTTTCCAGCCTTTTGGTTGGTCTCAGAGCAATCTTTAGGAGTGCCTGAAGCAAACACTGTACTTCAGAGCTCAACACACATACAGGAAAAATCAGGCATCCATGCCAAAAATGCATATTCCCAGGGGTTACATTAGTTTCTGACCATTTCTGGTCAGAACTGGTTGCTGACACCCAGCTAATGCCCTGGACATGAACCAGCATATCCAGTCTAAGCCCACTGGTCCTGGTAAGGCGTTCTCCCCACAGCACATACAGCCCCTACAACCTGTTTCTCTGCACCTGACTTCACTTTTGCCCACCAGATAAATGACTATTGCTCAGTCATACAACCTCAAATGACCAAACAGTTAAAATTTTTGCTTCTGAAGTTCCTTCAGTCCTCATTTTAGATTTTGGGAGGAATCTGGTAATCTTTGTAATCACTGTAAGGTTTTAAGCGGTGATTTTATGCTTCTATTACTAATAGTAAAATTTGTATCATTATTTTTCAGGACAGTGTCAGAAACAAGGCTGCTCACTGCTGAACTGCTCAACTGCAGAAACATTAGCCAGTGTCACTGGTACTCTGCAAACCTTCACTTCCCTGAAGTCACACATTATTATTCACATATGTCTAAGGTATACAAAGTTACTGTGCTGCATTTTCAGCTCAGAGAAGTCTCTCTCAAAAGATGTAAGGAAGGGTTGCAAGTGCAAGTAATTTTCTGTGCTCCTGTCATGCTTTTCAGGTAAGAACAGCAAGTTATTAATCAATCAGCTCCATGAACTAATTAAAATAATATATTCTGCATGTACCAATTCATATAACATATGTAGGTGAAATAAAAGCCATAACAAACATAAATAAAAGTTTCACAAGAATTTAGTGACAGGCCATGAAGAGGACCCTGGGAGGAAAAGGGAAACAACTCACTTGTGCCTTGCTTTATTCTTAAAGACAAATTCACTTTCTTTCTGAAAATGGTTGATACTCAACCTCAGCTCTGCATGTCAACTCTACTTCTTTTCCTCCTTTGAAATTCTGAGCATCTTTTGATATGTTTGGTAAGTCTATATTAATCCATTCCCATCAGATGCTAAATAGACACATATCATATAGGAAAAAAATTGCATAGCTCTCCTTCAACATGGACCTTGGCAAAAATAACCAGCTGCAAACAAGCAGGGATGCATATTTTCCATGATTCATGCTGCAGAAGCCACCATAGGCTGCGGGACTGTTGTACAGAATTTGAGCTTTCACAGAGAAAAAAAAAAACTGCTACCAGGCAGCCTGATGGTGAGGGAAGTCTTCCCAAACAGGAACTGAACATGAATCAAGTCAGGATGACTCAGATTGTTTTTGTGATTCTGCAGAGAGACAATCTGAGATAATAGCTGGGTTGTGTGAACTATTGCTATAATTTATTGCAATAAAATTCAAAATACAATGACTTACTATTGTGAATTGTTTTTTTATTTTCTCTCTATATATCAAAAGCACTGTAATATTTAGATTTCTTACCCCTCTGTATGAATAAACACATATAAAAAAATATATAGAAGTCCTCTGTATGCTTCATAGCAAATATGCAAACTATCATGTTAACAAACATAGCAACATCCTTTTTGTATGCTCGGTGAAGTGCACTTTGATAAGAAGACAGTAATGTGCAGTAGCAAGATTGGGTTATGATGGAGGTAGCCAGCCTCAGGACATCCAGGAACTTATAATTCTATTGTTACATGTTGAAGCTTGAAGCTTATGACAGATCTTCCTAGGTGGTGGGGGGAAAAAAAGAATGACTGAAAAAATAAGCCTGGGCCTTTGCTTCAATATATAAATTAGGCTTGTGCTGCTTTGGATTCAAAGAAAGAAAGAAAAACGTTCCATTTGTGTTTCACAACAACAAGGGTACTGTAGGCAGCACAAAGTATCAGCACAAGTAAAGGACATCGCTCTGTTTGTGTGTTGTACACACAGGTTAAGTAAATGGTTTTACTTTAACCAAACAGGTCCCATGACTCAAGGTGAGAAAAATTCTTCTTTAGTGCTGTTCTCCATCCTTTGCCAGAAAGCTGTTCCCAATTGAAACTATATTTATCCGTTATTTACCAGTTTAGTCAGCTGAGGACAAGTTGTTCTGAAAATGTTTGTTTAAATCGGCCAGCCAGGCATCAAGAAGAAAAAAGACAGGGGTGGAAAGAAAAACCAATATGGAAACACGGCTGAAATTCCAGGGAAAACCTTTCTGTTGACTTTATCTGGATATAGCCAAGATCTGCAGTCAACAGAGAACGATGACTACTAAAATAAGGGAAAGAGACTAGAGACTGTAAAGAAAGAAAAGGCAGAGAAAGGAAAATAGAGGAATTTCCTACATTCCCATTTAAAGAAAAAGGAGGGGGGGCAGGGGAGAGGAAAATGAGGTTCAGCTGCAAACACGCAATGGAAGGGAATGAAAACTGATAAAATTAATTAAAATATGTATGATCATTGATTTTAATGGATAAAGATGTCAGACATTGGCCTTGTTTGCAAATTTTTATGAATAGGTGGTAGAAGCATGGGCTGGTTTCAGTATGGATAGGATATCGAAATAGCTAGAAAATTTGGAGAGACTGTTCATGTCTGAAACTTTGCGAAGGTCACACCTGGTAGTAAAGGAAAGATTTACCTTCAGTTTTAAATTGTTTGGAAATGATTTGGGCATATTTGTTATGAAATTATATTTGGGGTCCTCCCTCTTAGAGAACATTTTAATTTTCAATTTTTACCCTGACAAAACCATTTTAGTAGAGCAGAGTGAGTGCAGCGAGTATGTACCAGTAATGACCATGAAAGGACAAACACCACATAGTGAACCGTATAGGATTCAGGAAGGACAGAATCTAAGTTTAACCACAAAGAAAGCCAACTTGTTAAGAAATATGTCTGAAACGAAATGACTAGCAAATTCTCCAAAAATCAGTCTTTGTGGGGGAAGTAAATGTGGAAGGCATATTGTCTTCTTAATACAGAACAGACTGACGCATCTTTTGAAGAACAAACTGAAATTCTTTCTAGACTATGAAATCTTGAAGGGAGACCAGGCATGAATTTACCAGCCAGTAAAAAGGTCCTTTAGCCGCTTTCCACTTGTCCCAGCCAGACCTCCACATGCTGCTCCCTCGTCTGTTTTTTAAACAGTAACATCCAAATATGTAGCTGGTAGAGAGATGGGTGGATGACCAACAGATGGGTAGCTGGTAGGTAGAGGCCACTTAGTTTGTTTCTCTCACAGTTTTCTAGTTTGTAGTAGCTTTATTTCCCTTATCACATCTCTCCATCTGTCCTTTTTGAGTTGGCTTCCAGCGCAATGAATGCACTGGAATTTTTTTAATATACCATACATACATAATTATAACTTTCCCTGTGGACATGGGCAAAGAGCTTACAATCTTAACAACCACATTATAAATGATGGAAGCATGTGCTGCTGATGCCCCAGCTAGTAGAAGAATACAGGCCTCCAATATTTTCAGAGTTTACTACATAAGATGACCTTGTTATCTCAGTCTTACGAACATGGATCAGGACAGAGATGAGCCATCAAAATAAGTATCTGTCATATGATCCAGACCTATTTCTTCGTGACCACCACTTTCCTGCAGCACATTCAGGTACCAGTGTTCTCATGCACTGCAGCATCCTCCTTGCTTTTGTGTGTTTGCCCATGTTGTGGCATGTCTCTTCCAAGCCCATGCTGCTGCCACCAATGCCCTCCTCAGGCTAAGGCCCCTCCAAGCACACAGGCACCAGTCTGATTCTCCAGGAGAGCGGTGTATTGGTCTTTCCCCTTCCATGGACATACAAAAGTATTCTTTGCATAAAATCGAAGACTGATTTTGTCAGAAATTCTCCAGGTGCTTCAAGAATGCCATATGGAGAATCCAACTGACAAAAGCAGCCACTGATGAAGGACAAACTGTCACAAAGCTGTTCCTTTTCCTAGAGTGGAACTGAATTTTCTAGCATGCTACACCATTACCTCCCAAGCAGAAAAAGACCCATACAGAATTGCACAAAATGTCATATAAAGCCTTATCACCAAGGGGAAAGAACAGTTGGTAACAATATCTCAAATAGCTATGCTTCAAAAGCATCAGCCTGTAGTTCAAAACTCTAGAAGCCCTTTTGACACGAGCAGATCTTCCCTTCCTCATCATCAGCTGAGCCAGGTTTTGAGCCAGCAGTGTTTCCAAACAAATTAGTAGTAGTAGAATAATTGTAGAAATACTGCCTGCCCCTTTCCATCACTGGAAGGATTTGGAAAGCAATCTTCCAGCAGAGCTGTGCCAGTTGCACACAGAGCGGGCAAATGCAGAGAACATCTGTTTCAAAGGATGTGCCAGCAGTGCAGGCACTG